GACAACTGCATTTTAGTGTACTTTCAATTTATTATTGATGAAATTTTAACCTCACAATCCACAACCAGTATTTTATTTTACAGTCGATTGCTAGAGTATAGGATAATTGTAACTGAGTGTATTTAAACAAAAACTATTAAACCCAAACTATATAAATAATAGAATAGTAACTAATTGTATGTAATCTACTCATTAGTCTTAACAGCTGTTTCAATTAAACAAGTTGGTTCTGTTCTATGATGTTCAATAGCATTAAAGTTACAAGGATTACCAACAGGGTGCAGCACTATTATTTCTTTTACATTTATGACAACAGCTAATTTGCAACCAAAAGGTGAGTGAGCGTAGCGAACGAACTTCAACCTGGAGGCGAGTTAGCTTAGCGAACGAGCTAACCTGAAGGCAAGTGAGCGTAGCGAACGAACTAACCTGAAGGCAAGTGAGCGCAGCGAACGAGCTACAACCTAAAGGTGAGTGAGCGTAGCGAACGAACTTCAACCAGGATGTGATTGAGCCATGCGAACGAGATCATCTTGAAAATTAAGAAGTTAAACGGGGCAAAGCCCGCGGGTTACAGTTTGTCATTAATAAAACTAATATTTGAATAACGCGATTGCGATTTTCTGACTGCTTGTGCTTAGTGCTTAAACGAGAAATTTAAATTAGTGCATTAAAATGCCGGTCGTCAGTCGCTCAGTTTTGTTTAGGATTTAGATTATTGTGTTTTATAAGCCAATCATCGGTCTCAGGTAAGAGACACAACTCTCGGCTCTTAAAAGAATATTGTTTTTAACCGTTGTTATGGTTATTACATTTCATACCGTATAAGGACTAGTTGAGGGTAGTCATGTAAAAGATACTACGAACTCACTGCGAGTGTCAACATATAAAAATGTTTCATTGTAAAATACCACAGCTTTAAATTGAAAATAAGATCATTTTAAATGTATAGTGTACTGTATTTTGTGCAAAGCCAATTTTCTTTGTATTTTTTATACAGTTTTAAAATGAAAAAGACTTTAGTAATATATCACCTACGGTGGATTGAATATTATCTGCATAAGAGACATCTAGCGGAGACTAGATGAGCTGTCACGAGGCTCGACTGTAGCAAAGCTAGCGGTGATTGACTGAACTAGTCTCAAAACTCCTTGTACACCAGCTGGAACAAAGATTATACGAATTTAATGGATTTTTACCAAAATTGTGTCACGTTTATTTCCTACCCTCGGCTTCGCCTGCGATGGTGAGACCATAAATATTATACATGTTGAGAAATAAACAGAGTATTAACAATCATTGCAACAATATGGTATCGTAGTGGCTTCGACAACAATCACAAAAATAAGATATTATATTCGTTGCATCACGCGCAGTTAAAAAATCATGTTATAATCAAAGATTCCACAGCGATTAAATTACAATTAAAACTAAATGAAAACCATTTGTTTAATCACGAACTAAAACCCTTGCAACAAAAATATTGAAACTGAAAATGACGCGACTCTTTAGCTTCTCCAAGTATAGTTTTTTCATAGCTGTATCGGCTCTTTTAATCCAGATAAAGAAACCTTTTACCAGAAAAACACATTCATGCCAGCGAATCTTTCCATTTTAATGCTCTGCAGTGTATACACTACACTCTCTGTCCATTTGATATATTTTTTTTATTTGTATTGTCTATTTTATTATTTTGTGGTATTCTATTGCATAATTTTCAAAAACAAATAAGTATCGAAATATCTTTGTTGAATGATTGTCACCAATTGGTAAATTAAAACACAAACATAACACTGTGAACAATTCTACTTCGACTGTTCTCATTGTGTATCACAGCTTTTTGTAGCTGCTAGTTAACATTAGCTGTTGTCATAAATGTAAAAAAATAGTGCTGCACCCTGTTGGTAACCTTTATAACATTCTAATGCAATTGAATATCATAGAACCAACTTGTTTAGCCGAAACGGCTGACAAAGTTTTTTTTAATTCTCACCAATTATTTACAACATTTGAAGGAAATTGTCGAGGCCGTTTTCGAGGTCTTGGTACGAGCAAGCATATACATAGAAGCATGCATCAAGACTAGATGAACTGTCGCGAGCTTCGATGGTAGCTACATCTAGCGGTAATTGATTGAACTAGTCTCAAAACTCCTTATGAAACTCCCGCTGCAGCAAACCACATACTGTACTATAGAGTAAAACGTGATTGTGTTCACCACACTATGATGATTTTAGCTCTTTTACATAGGCTTTTGCTGGCCTTGCCAGCTGTCATAGTTTTTTGGAGACCGAGCAGGTTTTAACATCACAAGGGCCGCAAAATCAGCTGCCTACTTACTTTCTTAAAACATGAATCTATACTTATTTGATACGCAAGCAGGTTTTTTGTGACAATTACTCCTCCGAAACTACTGAACCGATTGACATGTTTTTGGTGTCATTGGAAAGAGCGTAACGTGAAGTTGTGCAGGAAACTTTCTTTTTAGGGAAATAATTAGAGAGTTAGGCCCTGAGGCCCTTTAAAGTTTCATATTTCTCCATAAGGATAACATGGGAGATGATTTTTATTTACAGAAACATATGTTTGTTACTTGAAAATAGTCAAAGTCCATTACATACTAATTGCTTTGTGTTATGGCTGTTAATGTATACTACATTTCAATCAAGGACTGTGTGCCTTAAAGTTTACCCATAATGTATCTTAATACTTTATTTTAATGCTGGGAATAGTAAAATTTAGTTTTGAATAAGTTACCATGATTTAGAAAACTTTACTATAATAATTTATGTATTTAAAATCACAAATCTTGACATTATTAAATCATTTTAAACAAAACAGCTGATTGACAACCCTTGATGTGATTGTAGAAGAAATAGAAGTATATTTTTTTAAATGCGGCTACCTACTTCATACCTAATGCGGCTATGAGTAAGGCTATTAGTAGAAAATGATCAGATATTTACAAGAAATGTTGATTATATCGATCTGTTATGTACATCTTGAGTATTCCATAATCTTTGAGTCGAATCTTTTAAAGTCATCAGAAATTATGACTGTTATTTGTTTTAAAATAACACCTGTAGTAGGCCTAGTTAGCAATTGCTCGATTTCGAGCAACAGGGACACTAGTGCATATTAAATACACAATCAGTATCCATAGCATTGAAATAAAATTGTTATATTGTTACCGTTGCCTAGCAACTAATTTTTATTATTATTGCTGATTCCTCAAATTAAACGATATTTGTATTTCTGTATCTGTATTTCTACACATATTTCAGTATATTTCTGTATTTGTATTCTCTGTATGTTTTGTATATTCTTTGTATGTAGCCATGTTGCATCATGCCTCCTAAGCTCGGAAACCCGCCCTTATAGTTATTGTTACTTCTTATAATGCATGATCTAACAAAAAACCACTAAGTGGTAACACTTTCCCCGCCAAGTCAGCAATCCAAAAAAGATAATAAATCATTACTTTTTCCGCCAAGAAAAACAATGTAATGTATGTAAGTTTGGCCACTTGGCGGCAGACTTTTGCTCGATCACTTTAAAAATACCATAAAACTAGTTTCATTGAGCAAGTATCTCTCCCATTAGTACATTGCTAGGTGAGAGCTTATTTTACAAAACTTGACCTTATTTGTGCCACATTTCATAAAATCATAATAGTGATGGTTTTATATTTACTGATTACCTCGAAATTATTATACTTAGTTGGACTAATTAATTAGAGAAGTTGATTTGTGAAATTATCCACGAACGTAACTTAAATGAAAAAAAACCAAGCAAAAGTCTGCCGCCAAGTTGCCAAACTTACATACATTACATTGTTTTTCTTGGCGGAAAAAGTAATGATTTATTATCTTTTTTGGATTGCTGACTTGGCGGGGAAAGTGTTACCACTTAGTGGTTTTTTGTTAGATTTTATTTATTTTTGTAGAAAATTAACCGTTCAAATAAAAATACTCTTTTCTCTGAAAAAAAAAATAAATTTTAATGCTAAAGTTGACTGAACTCTCGATCTTCCGGTAGTCTTTGCAGAGGGTACCGGTTTTGTACTCTCATCCTGCACTTTTTTGACATTTTTGGTCTGGCACCACTTCCTGTCTCTCACATAAGGAGCCGAAGAGGAGTCACAACTTGTGTTGTAAAGTGGAAGGTCAGACCTGTACTTCTGCCTTAGTCTGTTGTATTCGAGAATGGCGGATTTCTGAGGCTTCACATCTCTTGGGTTAAAGTTAATAAGATGAAGCCCTTCTAATGAAGTCACTCGTGACAAGGCAACATATGATTGGCCACATGTAAATATGGACTCCCCAATATCAATTATTACGCTATTTAAGCTGAGGCCCTGGCATTTGTGAATTGTAACCGCGTAGGACATCGATATCGGGAATTGCTCTCGATACACAAATGCGTTATCCATAACTTGAAACTTGACGTTTACTCGCTGTAGGTGATGGGTAATGCCACAATCAAAGTTAATTGTCACTGAGTCTACGTCATCAGAATTGTCTGTATTAAACCTCAACCCCGTTACTGTTCCAATGGCGGAGTTAACTAGCCCCACAGTGACGTCAATGTTTCTAAGCAACATAACTTTAGCACCAACCTTAATAGGAATAATTTTCTCCATACCAGCCGTTCTGCTGCAGTCAGAGTTGTAAGAGGACAGTATCTTTTTAACTTTGTTTTGTTGACGAGGTAGACAGTCAACTGAGTCTTTTGCAACCAAGTTGCAAACAAGGACCACTTACAAACAAGGACTGTTGCAAATGTTGCAACAGGACCACTTATTCTATTGACCATTTCATCATTTATTATGGAGCATTGGTAACCAGTTGAACAAAGACACACAGAATTGTTGGGTAAAGCAGACAAGTAATCTCCTAATAGAGAAAGGTTTTCACAAGCAGTTTTTCCATTAAGATGTATTTTCTTGCTTTCAATTAGACGGATGTCCTCAACGGTCATATTGCCTACTCTGACTTTGCTTAACACATCAGCAAACTTAGAATCTTGAGCTTGTCGCATGTTTGTAGTAAGTTCATCATAAGAGAACTGTTCAGACCAGATGTTAACACAAGACAGAGAGCCAACAAAAGAACTAAGTTTGCTACTGTCAAGTTCAATGAATGTCGAGAAATGAATGAAGGGGAGTCTTCGTGTACTGGTGGAAGTTGTAAAAGGTCTCCAAAGAGCAGTATATGTTTTTTACCAAACCAGCCGTTACTTTGGTCTGAGGTGTTGAATATTTCACACAATCTGAGATTTATGTACATCAATGTTAGATTGGAGACCATGGACACTTCGTCTATTATGAAGAGCACCACATCTTTCAGGTTGGATCTCAACATTTTTAAAACATCATCAGTAAGAGCTTTGTACTTTGGAGTTTTTCCATGCTCAACTGGCAGCTGAAACACTTTGTAGATCGTAGAACCATTGATGTTGTAAGCACTTAGTCCTGTGGGAGCTGATATTGATGTAGAGGCTTGAAGACATTTTTTAGTCCAAGAGCTGATAGTTTTTATGAGAAAACTCTTACCAGTACCTCCCACACCACTTACAAAATGTCTGAGAAATTTATCTGTCCCATCAGAGTTTGCAACAACTCGTTTGACATAATCAAACACTCTCTTTTGGTCGTCATTGAGTTTTTGGTATTTTTTCTCAAACGGCTCGTCATTCGGCGACCAATTGCTGTCCCTGACAGGCTGGGATGCGGGGACAGGTTCATTAAAGGGCTGAAAGGCTATATTGGATGGATCAGCAACCTCTCCTTCTTCTGCATTGATCTCTTCAACTCGGTTTTGAATTTTGTCTCTTGCATTCTCCGATGCCGCAATAATGTCTTTTAAACGTTTGTCATAGTTGAAGGCTTGAGTGAGAAGTGTCCGCTTGGCCATAAAAGCATCTGTGTATGTTTCATGAGACTCTTTCAGCTCATCAGTAGATCTCCAACAAAGAAACATAAGAAGTAATGCATGGTAGTATTTTTCAGGATCCTGAGTGGGGCTGTACTTATAGTGATTCAGTAAGCATGGTCTGACTCTTTTAGTGAGGAATTTGCCTGAATTCAACTTATGCACTTCACGGTCGCCTTTAGGTGGTTGAGCAGCTATATCGTACCATCTCACAAAGTCGTATAAGTTCATATCTTCTAGTTCGTCTGGTCTAGTTGGGTAGTGGTCATCAACCCACGACTCGTAGAATATGTTCGTTGAACTTGGGTCCATACTTCGTATCTTGTCGATTTTTTGTAGTCTTTTGCGTCTGGTCATGCCTACATCCAACCATCTTATTGTTGTCTCCGGGTCCGTGCCGTACAATGGAATGCCCAACAGTGTGTCACTAGCTTCTAAAGAACCACACTCACGGTTGTTTAAAGCTCTAAGGCCAACGTTAAACAGTCTACTAGCTAATGATTTTGTAGAATTAATCTCTGTAAAAACTTGGCCAGCATGACTTTGTTCACTTTTGGTAGTGTACTTTGTGACATACCAATGTAGGATAGAAGTGCTTTCGCCTACATACTGGATGTCCACGTTTCCATTCCAAGCTAGCAACACGGCCGGGTTGTAGTCATTGACAAAGCTCTCGCTTGGTGTTCTGGGTAGGTCATAAAGACGTGACTTAGACTTGAGAGCTTTTCTGCCAGCTACAGACTCGACAACGTCACGCAGAACAAGATTCCCTGTGATTGGCCGGGGGAACCCGAAACGACAAGCCTTACGAAACCCGGTTTTGGTTTTCTTTGTCCGCATACAGTACGAGTTGTGGTGATGCATTTGGTAACTTGTAACTCTGTTGTTGAGAGTAGGTGAAACGGATGCATTTGGAACCTTGCAAGTAATGTACTTAAGGATAAAGTCGGCTACTTCTGCGTTGCTGGACGTCCCCATTACAGGAGCATTTTCTACCCACAGAAGAAGATGGAAATGTTGGAGACCTCTGCTTTGGTATTCTCGCCTGTAGAAGTAGTGACTTACTTTTCCTAAAGGAGCAGCATCAGAGACAATAAAATCCAACATTGCCTTGAACTTTATATGGATAAACCGTGACGCACTGATAGGATCCATAGCCACAAGTTCACTAGTTTGTTTTTTTTCTGCGCCTGGAACACTCCGGGTAACTTCCCTAATGAACAATGCCATGTCATCCCAGTTCCAATCGCTTGGGCTTATGGTTAAAAACCATGTAGCTGGTCCATAATGCTGAGCCATGCAATTGACATCATTTCTAGGCTGTATCCAGTACTGGCTAGTGTTCCTGAGTTTGGAGAATACTGATGTCAGGTTCCCCTCTAATTCTCCCGATGCAAGGTTGTTCAAACAGTCTCTAGCACTAAGAGAGCCACTGAATCCAGTGACATTGAGCTTGTGGAATACTCCTTGTCTTAACTGCCGAAGGTTTGCATCGTGCAGCAAATAAAAAAGGTACTGCTGATTCAGTCTGAACTGAGAATGCTTTGAAAGCAACCGACATTTGATAAATTCAGCAGAAGAGAGTTTAGTTTCTCTGGAATGAAACTGGCCAAATTTACCTTCGGGATACAAATCAGGGAAACAAAGCACGTCAATCTCTTTGTTTTCATGACTAATCGGAGGTTCATTCACTTTCAGCATCTTATAGAGCTCGGTGTCATCACTATAAGATTTTGACTCATGAAGAGCGTGGATTGTATAGTGAGACTCTTCTGAATCCCATTCCTCGTGAGTTACCTGAGTTAATATAGCACGTCTATGTAGTATTTCCTGAGGTGGCAGTTCGTTTTGATGGGTAGATTGAAACAAATTTGTGTCATCATTAAGGTTGAAGAGTCCTTCGGGATCTGTAGGTAGTACGATGCTACCATAATGAGCGTTGTTTTTCTTTAAGAAAATTAAGGCTGCGTGTACCTTATCCACACTAACCAACATTTGCCAAACTTTCTTTGCTTTGGTCGGTACCCCTCTGACCAAAACGTACAGCTCGTGGTTTGGATTCAGAGGGTCACTTGGTTTGGGCAATTTTTGCAGGGTTTCTTGAAGGGGTAGTGGCAAATGAAAACTTCTTCCAACGACTTTAGAAATTTGTTGCTGAGCTCGACTTGTTCTTTTCCCAACTGTGTTCATTTTTGTAACAACCTGAAATGCTTTGGCTCTCTGAATTAAAACTTTTTCATAACTGTTAAGGCAAGTTAGCTCTTTCGGCTGCGCACAAACATAGAGATCGTTAAGAATGCAAGTAGGAGGCATCTGACCTTTCCTTAGTTTTTCGAGGCAGCCCCGACAAATCCATCCTGTTTTGCACTCTTCTTTCTTTATGTCTTTTATTCTTTTCCATATGTGTCCTACAATTTGATTTTTTAGGTTTTTCAAAAGGCTTACTTGCTGCTTACTAAACAACTTATCGCATGAGACACAGGGAAACACTGGGGTTTCAGAAGAACGCTTCTCCAATGCCTCAAATGCTTTTTGATATTTTTCGAACAACTGAGACTCAGATTCAGGGACCTTGCTTTCACTTGTGTCATCTGTAAGAAAGGCTTTTGTTTGCTCTTTAAATTCCCTTTCTATCGAAAACAACACGTTCACCTGCACGTTAAGAATACCATTTTTAATTAGCATAATCTTCTTAGTTATTTTCAACAGTCGGTAAATTTTGGAGACAAGACTACGAATTGCAGGAAAGTGAGGATAGATTGTTCTCAGAAAAGGAAGTTTCGAAACACATGCTCCTGAGTAACAGTCCAAAGAGTGAGGATGAACACCTACACGAGATGATACACCACTTTGACATGAGTGCTCTCCCATGCTGACAATAAGCTTAGAACCTTTAGTGAGAGAGCTGGCAACTATTTCATTGTAAAGAGATTTAAGTTGCTCTAAGTGGTCAGGCTCAATGAAGCACATATCTGAGTTGCATTTCCACTGTTTCTTTGGAGAACTATGAGCTGTGCTGGGCTCATTACCAACAGTTATTTGTTTACCAGGAAACACTCTATACGTAAACTCCCACAAATAAGGCTCCGACGTGGAAACATGAAGACTGTGCCCACACAACGCCTCAACATTGTCTTCAAACGTGCTTGTTGCAGATAGCTTAGCAAGAGACTCTTTAGCACGATTTTGCAGGCTAACAAATAGCTTAAGGAAATTGTTTTTGTAATTTTTATAAGCATGCAACACCCATTTCAAGAGCTCTTTAGCCCTTAGCAACCTTTTGGTATAACCTTGCTCAAGTATTTTCTTTGCTATAAGTCTGGCTATTTTCTCACAATTTATTTTCCCCAAGAAAATATGTGAAGCTGCAACAGTTTTTTTAATTTTCCTTTTTGCATTTTGTAATGATTTTCTTTTCCCATCAGATCTATTTCTAAAAAAAAAGCGTCTGCTTTGATAGGCTGCACACTTTCGCACCCTTTCGTGAAAAACCTTAAGTTTATATCGCAAGCGAAAGTGGCCAGGGTGTTTTGCACAAAGTACTTTGTAACGTCTCCTGCGATTAGATTGTTTCATTTCTTGTTTTGCACCGTAGTTTAAACGTTGTTTAGCTTTATAATATTCTGGATCAGTAGAGTATTTCTGACGCACTCTAGCCTTGTGTGGCTCAGGATCAGTAGAATACTGCTGACGCTTCCTAGTCTTGTGTGGCTCAGGATCAGTAGAATACTGCTGACGCTTCCTAGCCTTGTGTGGCTCAGGATCAGTAGAATACTGCTGACGCACTCTAGTCTTGTGTGGCTCAGGATCAGTAGAATACTGCTGACGCTTCCTAGCCTTGTGTGGCTCAGGATTAGCAGAATATTGCTGCCGCAACCTAGCTCTGTGAGGTTCAGGATTAGCACTGTACTGCACACTTTTTCTTAACCTCTCAGTTTCAATATTAGCTAGATAACGTTTTCTGGCTTTGGATTTTTCTCCTTTAACATGTTCAAGGTACCAAGCTTTAGAAGTAGAACTCTTATTAGTGGATTGTATGCTAGCTTCTTCTGTTTTTCTTTTTTTTATAGCAGGGGCGTTTTCTAAATACCATTCTTGTTTTCTTTTTCTTGCCAGTCTTTCTTTAGAAAGCATACTGATGTTAGATTAGAAAGAAAGTAAATGCAATTAAAACATGGACGTGGTATCTTACCAAATGATCCTAAGAAATGTTCTCAATCATCTCAATGTTCTTGAACTAGATCTCTTCACTAAACATAAACAATGCTGCTCTTTTTGTAAAAATAAACAAGACATCAAATTTTTTTTATTTACAGCTGGTAATTAAAAATGGTTATAAATAGTTTGGGTGAAATATATAGACCACGGCACAACTACATCTCATTTCATTTCAATAATATTGTTTGTGTAGAACTAAATTCTACATTTTTTGGTCTTATCTGCTATAAACCAATTAAAAACTTTTTGACACACCTACCAAAATTACTATTTAACAAAAATTGCTACGTTGGAAGTTTTTGAAAACATGTGTTAAACGTATAGTCAACAGGGTGGTTGTTTCTATTTATGATTTTGTCAAGAATATGTTTATTTTAAACTAAACACACACTTTGAAACTGTATAATCTAGTCATCATCCATTAATATAGGTTCTGTGTCTGGGGCTGTAAATTCAGCAATGTTCATCTTGAACAACATAAAATGCGTTGGTGTTACATAAGTGTTCTGATAATTAAACCCGTATATCTAAAGACTAGTGTAAATTGAGCCCTTATTATAGAAGTAAAAATGTAATCAAACAGTTTAGGTTTGTTGGAAATAGCATAAGGCAAAACGAATATTGAAAAACTAATTAATCCTATATTTACATTTTAATTGCTGGTTTAACATACGTAAAGTGACTTTCCCGATTCTTTTATTTGTTTTAGTGTATCAAAACATAAAACAAACCTTAGTACTAGTACTAAGTTTCAAGTTACTAGGTTTCATATGTTTTGATAAGTAGTATTAAACTGTTAAAAATGACGAACTGCTGTACCAGTGTACCATCGGTACACTGCATTTTTCAATGGAAAGTATCGGGGAATATCACTGCTCTAAGTAATTTTATATAGTAAGTAGTTCAAATCATTCGGTATACCTGAAAAAAATACTTTATGAAAGTTTTAAAATAATTTTTCAGCTGTTCCTATGAATTTCTCTAACATTTAAATTAATTGAGATTTAATCGCAGCTGGTCCTTCTTTTGTTTTGATTTTAATCCCATGTTATTTAAATGGGCCAAAATCGTACTTTGAGGGCTTGCCAAGGGTTTATGGTTCAACTCACCGACTTGAGACCCTCAAAAGGCACATCTACACGTTAAGGGCTTTCAAACAACATAAAGAACATTAAAATTGAGCCAGTGGTTTGGGCTGTAGGTCCGTCAACATTCAAGGAGAAGGAGAAGGAGGAGAAGGAGAACACGGAAAATTTGTGAATTTTCAAACTAGTTTTTCTTGGCTCAAACACAACAGTTTTTTAAATTCTTTTTTTTATTTTGTTGAGGATGAGTGCCCCTATCCAATAGATGAACAATTATTTTAATAGCTTTTGTTTCTTCAGAGCTATAGACGAGTGAAAAAGCCACTTTGTCACGTCAAGTATATATACACTGCAGCAGCTGTGTACCGCTGGGGGACTTGGCGGGGCGGAACGCTGCCGCGTTCCTTAATATATTATGTTTACAACACATCGCACCATCCATCGCAGGTGTAGACGCGGGTACGAGCTAGTTGTATTATAAGCCAATCATCGGTCTCACAGGTAAAAGACACAACTTTCGGCTTTTAAGAGAATCAATTTGAGTTATTGAAAAAAATGAATATCATGGCCGGACCAGTTAAGGGTAGTCTTCTAAGAGATACTAACAAATCACTGCGAGTGTCAACCGTTGAAAATGTATTATTGTCAAATACCACAGCTTTAGATTGAAAATAAGACATTTTTAAATGTGTAGCTTACTACATATTACCTAAAACTAATTTTGTTTTTATATTTTATTTAGTTTTAACATTTAAAATCGACCAGTAATATATAAACTATAGTGGATTAAGTGTTATCGGTTGAAGAGACATCTAGCGGAGACTAGATGAACTGTCGCGAGCCTCGACGGTAGCAGCATCCAGCGGTGAATGACTGAACTAGTCTAAAAACTGCTCACGGTAAAACTATTTTTATAGAATATTATTTTAAAAACAAAATTGAACTGTATGACTTACCTCGATATAAGTCTGTTTTTATTAACTCAGGTGAACACTTATTTAGGCTTCCTGGGAATATATAAAATTGGTTCCGATTCACCTATGAATTATGAAAATATAGCACCTAGACCTTTTTGGTTTTATGATTTTAAGTTACGCTTACCCAAGTGTAATAACTTTTTTTAATACCAATATTGGAGGTCAAATTGATCAATAGGGATTTTATGTCTTAATAATTTTTGTATGAAGCATTTTACTTTACTTCGTACAAAAAGTTATTGCATGGTAAATAAAATAAAGCTATTATGTTATGATGGTGTACATGTGTAGATGTATTTGAGTAGTTTCAGTGTTTGTTGAATATTATTAATGCATTCTCATATTAGCAAAAAATATTACTTCTGCACATGAAAATAAAATAAAGAAAATGTATTATTCAGAAGCATTAAATTATATTTACGGTTGTTATATATTTTAAAACGTTTTTATTAGCTAACTTTCTTGTCTGGTACAAATTTTGCAATCAATTTTACGCTAACTTCCCCATGAGCTAGAGACTTGAAACTTGAAACTTAGCTCACAAATGGATTTACGAGAAACAGATTAAGCATTGATTATGGAAAAATGTCGGATTAATATGCTAGCTCCACTCAATATTGCAAGCAGACAGCTTTATTGTACACCCCGTTAATGTAATTGGATGTTTAATGTTTTATCATGGTCATTTTAACTTGGCAATCCGAAACATATTAGTTTATTTGACAGTCGATTATAAATAATCATTCGTTTATAAAAGCCATTTATGATCCTGAGTGTAGGATAATTGCAACTAGGCGTATTTGACCAAAAACCGTATTTGAACCCGAATGTGATTAGTAGAATGGAAATAGTTATTTGTGCAACTAGTGAGCAAAGTGAGCAATTACCTCACTCGAGAGAAATCCTTACT